TAACTAGTTAATTTCTCCACTGTGAGATCAATAAAGTCTATCAATCAATTAATCAATACAAGGAAGCAGATGTGTCATCTTGATCAAAATATTTATTGTACGCTGAAATGCTTAAAATTTCATTAAATCCAGTCACAACTACTTCCAAGAGCGCATCCCACAATTTCAAGAGCAACTTCTTATCATCAGCACGGATGAAGAGGTGATGAAGTTGGAAGTACTGTAGATACAAACCAAGCTATTATGATCCAATGCATGTTATTACAAAGACCAACAACGGAAAGAAAAGGTTTGGGCAGGAATTGAATTGTGCTGGATGCCAGTGGTGTTTTAATTATGATATGGGCCTATCTAATTAAGCATTTATTACGACGTATTGTGCTCCTAGGAATTAACAAAAAATATTGTGCATGTTCTGCTCGAGCTTCAATAAAACGTAGTGGAGAAAGATGAGATGAACCATGGAGGGTGAAGGCTCTGCTTTATGGAGGCGGTCTGGAAAGCCGCAGGGTGCCCAACAATAGCATGAATATGCTATTGGGGGTGGATCACAGCAGGGCGGGGCGCACCGCAGTGGGACGGGTAATAATGCAACGTAGTGCAGTGGGGCGGGGAGGAGCGCAGCGTGGTGGATCAGGCCGGTTACCAAGGATGTGGGATTTCACATTTATGCTAAATAAATCCCTTTTTGTACATGAATAAGCTCTTTCAAGAACTCCTGAAAGGGTACAGTTTTTATTCACTTAATTTAAATTCTGTATATACATTTTTGCTACTGATTTAAAAAAAAAAAAATCACAATAAAAAAAAAAAAATCAGTAGATTAATCAATATACAAAACAACCGTTATTTGCAGCCCTAGTTCTTTTGTTTAGAGAAGCTGACAAAAAAAAAGCATATTATCGTAAGATAAATAACACTGGATGGTACCACCCTTGATTAGATCATCACTGCTCTTGTTCAGCTGGAGGAATTTAAGACTGGCAGAGGGCCGTCTTGAAGAATGGTGGGCAGAAGAGGACATATGGAGTGCAGCAGCTTGGCTAATTATACTGATTTAGTGATTACAGCTGGAAGTGTTCCAAGGGCTCCAGATGAGACGAATCAAAGGGGCAAACAGATAAGTTGGAGTGAAGGCTTTATGTTGCCTTGTGATTGCTGAGCAGAAGAAAACAAATGTAAGTGTCCTTGATGCCCCTGAAACACACCTGCCTACAGCTTAGCCACTTAAGATCTGGAGACCTGCATCTGAATTATAGCTCAAAACAAAGACTATCCAACCTCCATATCACCGTTTGTCAGATTTAAGATTGATCATTAGCTTTAAAGTCCTCTGCAAGCTGAAAATGTGAACTTGTCAGCAACACATATGATGATTAAAGTGCCCTTGTCACATAATATGACCCTTCTACACCATTGGCTCACTCCTGTTGCATATAAAGGTCTATAGTTTAAATGATGGCCTCTGTTGGCTAATAATATTCTGTTTCTGTTTTACATGTTGTTTTTGCTCTAATTGTTAGCAAATAAAGGGATTTGACATATTGGTCATAACAGGATTAGGTGACCGGAAGAATTATATTGACAGGTGCACAATGAGTAAACAATTAAGAGCCATAGAAATATGGCTTTGAAAGGGAGGTTAAAAAGGGACAAAAAGTCAAAGTTCTAGTGCGAAGAACAACTTAAACTACTTGAGGCACAGAGGATAAGAAAGGTGTTGAGCTCAGAAATTATTTAATAAGGACATTTGTGTTTACAGGAAAGCAGGCTGCAGCTGCAGAAGCTTTCAGATTTATCTGCCAAGTTGATGGATGCTTGAGTACACCGCATTTTCCTGGATGCTAGTGATAATAATGCAGTCCTTAGGATCTTGTGGGGACCAGAAAATGCATACATTATGTAATGGGACCAATTGATAATATAGGCTTCTGGCAGATGGCAACGGCACACAACATTGTTTACATCTGATGATAGCACCTGGTGCAAAATATCTGACATGCAAACCAGAGTTGTTCTGTCTCATAAAAATTAGGAAAGTGTGTATTCTACACTTTTCTTTGAATGACAGATTAGTTTCATGTAGTTGGAGGTAAAAATGACAACAGTTTAAAAATGTCTATTTAATGTAATATCAATATACTGTATCTCTCACCTATATTTTAGCCTATTACTAAGTACTACAAAGAAAAGTAAAAATATATATAGATGGAAATAACCTAGCTTAAACATTAAAAAATAAAACTTTTTCTGTTAATTGATCCCCCCCTGAAAAATCTGCATGTCTTTAACAGCTGCTAACGTATAAACATAGCAGTTTTTTTTGTGCTTTGTTGAATGGAGGAAGAAATATATTTTTATATATATATTTTTTTTTTTTTCCATCCACCCATCCATTATCTGACACGCTTGTCCCGAGTGGGGTCACAAGGGGTGCTGGTGCCTATCATGCACATCATTAGTTTAACTTTTTTATTTTCTTTAGTCAAACTGTTTTTAATATTCTTTTTTGTTTCTGCATTTTTTTATTTTATTATATATATTTTTTTTGTTTTTTCCTACTTGCTTTGATTCTGTTTTATTTTCCTGTATTTTAATCATGTAAAGCACTTTGCATTGTTTTTGTACTGAATTGTGCTATACAAAATAAATTTGCCTTGCCTATCTCCAGCAGTCATTGGGCGATTGGTGGGGTACACCCTGGACAGGTCGCCAGTCCATCGCATGGCAACACATGACAAACAAACATTCACACACAACTAAGGACAATTTAGAGAAGCCAATTAAACTAACAGTCGTGTTTTTGGACTGTGGGAAGAAGCCGGAGTACCCAAAGAGAACCCAAACATGCTCAGGGAGAACATGCAAACTCCATGCAGAAAGACCCCAGGCCGGGAATCAAACCCAGAATATTCTTGCTGCAAGGCAGCAGTGCTATCCACTGCGCCACTGAGCAGCCTAATTTATTTTTTACATTTCAAATTTTTTTTTACAATTTTTTTATATACAATTTTTTTATATAAGCATTTCACAATATTCAATTTCAGTCATTTAAAAAAAAAAATTGGATTAACTGTTTAAAGATTGCCTGCTGTTCCAGCGCATTAATTTGTCCATATGAATAAAAAAATTTTATTTAATAACAATATTCTACTGTTGTTATTTTTAATGGTCCAAATATGTTTGGCACAGACTCTTTTTATGTTGTTTTGCAGTATAAAAAATCCCTCTTTTGATCTTACTGACAGTCACAGTTGCAAAATTTACAGGGAATTGGTAACAAGCAGACCATTATTGCTGTTGCTAAAAGGTTCCTCTCGGTATTTGTTTATGAAAATTTATTGAAAAACTTTTTAGGGCATAAAATTGTATGCAGCGGACATGAAGATGGAAAGGGGGGTGAGAAAAAAACAGGGAATAAGAACTAAGGCGAGACAGAAAGACAGAGACAGGAGAAAGCGCATAAAAAAAAAGTTTAAAAAAATTCTGCGCATTTTATTTTGTTCTTGTTTAGTAGGTGTTTGTTTGCATGTTAGCCTAGTCCTAACATTTCTTTAAGCTACCACAATCTGCTAGTCTGCTTAAACATGCTATTCTGTTTATTTATGTGTTTGTTATATTTATTTTTTTCTAAGGATTGTTAAAATATCTATCAGATTTTCTGGTCACGTTAGTTAATTTTTCCCTTTTAGGAAAGAAGAGGTGGTTTGATATAGATTTATCTGGAATTCAGTGTTTGTGTGACATTTTTTAAAAACATGTCTGAAGCATAAGCATAAAAGGGCCAGGGCTGCACTGGAGATAATTTTTTTGCATTCTTTTGACAATTATTGTAATCAATTAATATATGTATATTTTAATGGATATACGTTTTATCTGTATAACCCAGCCCTAAACTAATTTCATGTCACACTAACAGTTTTTTTTTTTACATGAGTCCTCATTAACCTGATTGCCAGCTTTTGAATTTTGTTTTAATTACAAAGACAATGTGACCCATTGCTATGGATAATAATTTAATAGCTTATTTAACTGATACACTTATTCATTTATTCTTTAATAGAATTTTTAATTTGTAACTATTATTCAGGGAAAGAAGCTCATTAATCTGTGAGGGAAACAATGGCTGATGGTCTTTAAGTATATAGCCAAACAAATGTCCTTTTTAGCACTAGTATAATACACCTCATCTGCATCAAACTTTGAAGGATCTTGAGGTCTATATTTACATGCATCCATCTTACCCCTCTTATCCCATCTGAGTAGCAATCTGTCTAATTAGGGCAGTCATGTTTATGGGCTGTAAGAGGAAACCAGAGTACCCAGAGAGAACCCACACATGCATGAGGAGAACATCAAAACTCCATGCAGAAAGAACTCAGGCCGGAAATTGAACCCGAAACCTTCCTGCTAAAAGGCAACAAGTGGTGGCAGATGCTCTATGAAGCAGGGGAGGGGGAATTGTGTTAATTAAAACTAAACACCACGTATTGCTTTAATAAATGTTGACACACATAAAACAAATCCCTACAAAGGGGGAAAATAGCTGCAGCGAAGCGCCCTGAAGTAATAAACTCCAGAAACCACGGCAACAGTTCAGCACGAAATGACTGTTCTGACTGAATGATCCCTTTTCCCTCTCGACTCATGAGGAAAACCACTGTCAGTCAATAATCCTTATGTTTGTTTGCTGATTAATTAACAGCTGATTAATGCGCAACATACTCATGAAACCAGGTGTATTTTAGCGCATATTTAATGCAGATTAAAGACTACATTTATGAAGGTTGACAATGCATATTTTACCAATAACTTTATGGCATTTACAGGGGAGGTTTAGCCTCCAAAGCAATCAATGAGAAATTGCCACTGAAGGCAATGATGCTACAAACTGCACCGTGCAGCAAAAAGTATTTATTCCGCATCCAGATATATCAATTGTTTCTGTTTCCTTTGTGGACAGATGAATATTTCTGATACGTATATTTTGTTTAAATCAAATAAAAATAACAAAACATTTTAAAAAGAGATAAAAGTTATGAGTGTTTTGACAAGAAAGAAATATCTATAATAAACTGGATCTATGTGAAAAATTAACTGTAGCTATTCTTTGCAGAATTGTGTTTGTTCAGCCATATTGAGGGGTTTTCTAGAATAAATAACCCGTCTAAGGTTCTCCCACAGTACCTTTTGTACACAGTACAGTACCTTTTTTTCTGTTTTCTTCACCATATGGATATTACATATTTGCATGTTTGCATGCTTTAAAAATCCATTTCTACCAAAACAAAGCCTTGAGAAATGGCAACAAACTAAGGGTTAGATATTCTCCTTAAGAACTTTTTGTTTAGGAGCAAGATTCATGCTTCCATCACTTATGACTAGTTGTTAAGATCCTGAAGAATCAAATGAGCAGCAGACACAAACATACAGTAATTTACTGTCAGTATGTCACTTTTTAAAAATGTACGTTACCCAATATTTTCTTTCTGGTAGTAACAAAGGAAACTCTCACTGCCATTGTAAATATGCAAGACAGTAGTTACCTGGGGCATTGGATTAATCCTTTTTATATTAACCATGCCTGACATTGAATTTAAGCCCTGCAGACAGAGAGCCATTATAAGCCATAAGGTATACAAATCCCTATTTTTCCTCTAGCAATACATCCATTCTCTACAGGCTCTTAGTGAAAATGTTGCACTTGATGGCCTTAAGAAATTACCTGAAGCCTCATTGTAACAAAAAACCCACTGTGTGCATGAAGCCATGACTGCAGGCATTACCTGTAGAAGAGTGGTGGGTGTCCTTGGGCTTCACAGCTAAACACCACTTCTCTTTGAGTCTCACCAGCATGAACAGGAAACACCACGCTGCCAGGTTGTTTAGTGAATACTGGCCTTTGCAGGACTCCGGTGCCTGGGTGGAGAACAGACAAAAACCACTTCAGATTTGCTTTGCAACTCATTCCATAGAAGCTCTTTATACATTTCTCTGTTTGGAAATATTGGAGGCTTAGAGAGGGAAGAGAGAGAGTGAGTGTGTGTGTGTGTGTGTGTGTGTGTGTGTGTGTGTGTGTGTGTGTGTGTGTGTGTGTGTGTGTGTGTGTGTGTGTATCTTGCAGGCTGGTGTCAAATACTTGTCTAGACCGTGACAAATACCTCCTGGTATTCTCGCTATGATTACCTCCAGGATTACCAATGAAACAGAACTGTTCACACAACTGATGTTGTCTAAAGATCAAAGGCAAGCCATTTCGTTTCCAACATCAGCAGCTTTACAGAAAATCTTTATTTCATTCTCATTGGGATGTTTTTCTGCTTTCTTGTTCTGGCAAGTGTAAATATAAGCAACTTTGCAGACTGGCAACAACTATAAAAGGCAAACAAATGATTGCAAAATAAGGCACAGAATAAACAGGAAAAATCTGCTTCAGTAAACTGAAATGTTAAAAATCTAAATATCTGTAATCTATCAATCAAGGTTTGACTGATTCTGATTTGTGGTACCTTCAAACGATGGGGAGCAGGACAATAGCCACACTTATGTTTAACATGTAATTGAATCTTTTATCTAAATCTTTAATTTTTCACTATATTATTCCAAAGTTGAAACTTATTTAGAGCTTTTCTCACTTTATATTTTTAAACTTCTGAATGCACTTTCTATATTAAAAGTTTTACATGATTTTTTGGTTATTCATAAAAGTGCATAAAACAATACAACTTTACAGCTGATGGCTGTCAGTCTGCTTGTTTCTTTCTAAACAGGAACACTTTGTTACTTATAATTGCATGAAATTAATCTTTATATAAGTTATTCATATTTATATAATGACTGGGTCCTGTGCTGATATTTTTATCTTATTTTGATAATATAAAATTAAAATAGCAATGTATATAAGGTTTTGTTTTTCCATTCTGGGGCACAATATTTAAGCAATATCTAAAGATGCCCTGATCAGGCTTTTCCTGTCTAGAGGGGATTTCCAGTTTATTATTATTTTATTTTTTTAGGATTTATCTGCTGATATTGATTAGAATTGATAGAAGATAAAAACGAAACATCAAAAGATATCTGATTTGATTTCAGTTCAAGTCAATAAAGGGAAATGCTTTGGTTTATGTGTTTAAAAATCTTAATTTGTTTTGTAATCAATGCATTTAATGAATATAAAAAAAAACAGATTCCATGAATGAAAAAGTGGTTGAATTAATTGGTGCATCTATAATAAATCCAGCCTCCCCCCTTATCCACCTTTCCATATACAATGACAGAAGAACTTCTCTTGTTCTTTTTTATTTATTTTTTTAAACGTGCCAACCCACCCCCCCTTAGATTATTAGGCCCCCCTCCCCAGAAAAGAAAAAAATCTGGCCACCCGTTTTGCAAACTTTCTGGAGGCGCCCCTGATTGGGATTCCTCACTGTTTGGACAGCTTTGCTTTCAAACTGATTAATTCAAGCCCAGAACAAGCCACAATTAGTAAAAGCAAAGACATTTGGAGGAGACAACTTACCTTGAGTGGTTTTACTTCCTGAAGCTGAGTGTTGGACAAAGGCGACCAAAAGGAAACCTACAAATCCAAGGCTTGCGCGTATCAAAGCATGCAGATACATGTTAACTTTTCCTCTAGTTCAACACAAGGCGAGCACTTTGTGGGGTCTGCGATGCGTAAGAGCACTAAATCTAAGGGTGTGTGTGGCAGAAATATAGTCTCTTGCTCCTCCGCCTGAGCCCCCGCTGACAGGATACGGTGCGATTATTTTTCTCCCCCCTCTCTCCCTCTCTCTCTCTCCTCTTTACGCGTCTTATTTCAGCTGAAGGTGATCGGAGTGGAGGATAACCCTGCAACGCGGAGCGCAATAAGCCTGTTCTCTTATCATGGTTCGAGCCCAGAGACGGTGTCAATT